AGTAAGAGGTGATTGTGGCTGCTCTTTTGTTTCTCTTATCTTTTTAGCTTTTACCCCAATATCTGACTCTGGGTTTTTATTGATAAGATTAGGATCATGCTTCACACAGGCATCCTCTAATGAATGATAGGATACTTCTTTTGGTACTTACCTAGTATGTACAGTAAGTTCTATCAATTCTTGGGACTGACTGGGATGTTATTTTTTAACCACTTTACATACTAAGGAGGCTTGTATTAAGGGAATTGCTCTTGTGCATACTGGGGGCAAGCAGTTCAGAAGTGAGATGAGTCCTCCTTGCATTTACTGAGCTGAATTGTGCAGTCCTCATGTCTCATGTCTCATGAAACACCATGGCCAGAAAGTAATGTGGGACAAGAAGGGTTTATTTTGCTCACAGTTCCATATAAAAGTTCAATATCAAAAGCAGCAAGGGCAGGAACTCATGCAGGGCAGGAACCTGGAGACAGAAGCTGATGCAGAGACCATAGAGGGGGTGCTGCTTACTGGCTTGCTCCTCATGGCTTATTCAATCTGCTTTCCTTTAAAACCTAGCAGTACAGCCCAGGTGGCCCCATGCACAATTAAGTCGGTCCTCCCCCATGAATCACTAATTAGGAAGATAACATATAGGCTTCCCTAAAACCTGATCTTATGAAAGCATTTTCTCAATTGAGGTTCCCTCCTCTCTGATGACTCTAGCTTGAGTCAAGTTGACATAAAATTAGCTAGTATAGACAGCATGAGTGGTGTTAACTGTTCTCAAGGCCCCAGCTAGTATGATTCAAAGGAGTTCAGTTCAGGACTGATTAAGTCTCTGCCCAATTTTAAATTTGGCTGACCCTTTATGATTGTCAGGGATTCTTTATGCATTCTGGATAAACTGCTTATATATATATTGTCTTACTTAGGGTTTGCTGTTGCTGTGAAGAGACACCATTACCATGGCAACTCTTTTTGTTTTCTTTTTTTTTTAATTGTATTTTTACAAATCAATCCCAGTTCCCTCTCCCTCCCATCCTGACATACCCCCCAAGGACTCCCTATCCCATCCCCCATCCACTCCCCAGGGAGGGTGAGGCCTTCCATGAGGGATCGTTACAGTCTGTCAAGTTATTTGGGGAAGGGCCTAGGCCCTCCCCTGTGTATCTAGGCCAAGAGAGTATCCCTCCATGGGAAATGGCTCCCGAAGTCCATTCATGCACTAGGGATACATCCTGGTTCCACTGCCAGAGGCCCCATAGACTGCCCAGTGCTCCTAACTGACACCCACATTCAGGGGGACTGGTTTGGTCCTATGTTGGTTCCCCATCTGTTAGTCTGGGGTCCATTAGTTCCCACTTGCTCAGGTCAGCTGTTTCTGTGGGTTTTCCCAGCGTGGTCTTGACCCCTTTGCTCATCATTCCTTCCTCTCTGAAACTAGATTCCAGGAGTTTGGCTCAGTGCTTAGCTGTGGATGTCTGCTTCTGCTTCCATCAGCTACTGGATGAAGGCTCTAGGATGGCATTTAAGGTAGTCATCATTCTCATTATAGGAGACAGGCATTTAAGGAATCCTCTCCACTATTGCTTAGGTTCCTAGTTGGGGTCATCCTTGTGGATCTCTGTATAATTCCCTAGTGCCAGATTCCTATTTAAACCTATAGTGGCTCCCTCTGCTGATGTGTCTCTTTTCTTGCTCTCCTCTATTCCTCTGCCCACTCAATCTTCCTGCTCCCTCATGTCCTCCTCTCCCTTCCTCTTCTCCCCTTCTCTTTCTCCTAATTCCCTGTCCCTTCCCCCAACACTCCCTATTTGTTCAGGGGCTCTTGCCCCTTTCTGCTTCACTGGGGGACTGTGTATGTCTCTCTTAGGTTCCTCCTTGCTTCCTAGCTTCTCTGGAAGTGTGGATTGTAGGCTGGTAATCCTTTTCACTATGTCTAGAATCCATATATGAGTGAGTACACACCATGTTTGTCTTTCTATAACTGAGTTACCTCGCTTAGGATGGTTTAATTGAGGGTGGCTCGCTTATAGTTTCACAGTTTCGGTCCTTTATGATCATGATGGGGAGCATGGCAGACAGCAGGCAGAGCTGAGAGTGCTACATCTTATAGGCAACAGGCAGTCAACTGAGAATCACAATGAGGGAAGCATGAGAACAAGACCTCAAAGCCACCCACCACACACACACACAGACACACACACACACACTCACATGTGTATGGAGATGTATACAAATATGTATGTGTAGGGCATAAAACAAGCATTTGTATAAAGTCTGTTTATATATGTATATATACAGGTATCATATATGTAGGATACAAGTGTTTAGTTTGTTTATATGTGTATTATATATGTGTATGCATGAATGTATATGCACACACACACACACACACACACACACACAGGACATATCAGAAGCATTTAGGAGCATTTGCCAGTGATACCATCCAGGTTAGGTGTTTTCTTGTCGGGAATGTATGTACTTGATTACTGCTTAACCTTCTTTAGCCAACATAGGATTTGTGTGTGTGTGTGTGTGTGTGTGTGTGTGTGTGTGTGTGTATCATTTTTGTTATAATCTATTTTTCAAATAGGTAATTAATCTAATTAAAAATTTTTGCAGAAGATAACTTGTAATTTCCCTTGAATAATTTTAATATGCACAGTACTCATGTTCTCTTTTACTTTTTTCTCATTTTTTAAATGAGAAAAAAGTTTTTATAATTCTATTTTTTTTTTTAAAGAGAACAGATTTGCCCTCTCTTGCATATCTGACTTCATTGCCTTTTCTGCTTGGCTTCACAGTTCAGTAGTTCTATGACTGACCACAATCTAATTTTAGGATATTTTATCACCCTCCAAATAAACCCTAAATTCATTAGCAGTCAGTCACTCCCCAATCAAACTACCCTGTTCATCCCCATGCCTGCTAACCCACCTTCTATATGTGGCTCACTTATTCTGGACACTTCAAACAAATGGAGTTATGTCTCTTTTGATGGGCTTCGATCGGCATAGTGTCAAGATTCACTTATGCTTGGGCATGTACCACCATCCACTTACATTTACAGCTAAAATTCCACTGTATGCTTATACTGCATCTGTTTACCCCTCATCTGTTGGGCTTTAGGCTGACTCCATTTTCTGTTATAGTAATAACACTGGTTTATAGATTCTTATAAAACCTTTCTATGTACATTTTCATCATTTCTTTTGAGAACATGCTGAGGGTGTTTCTGGGTCATATGCTGTCTCTGTATCCGGAATTCTGAGGAATGACAAAAGCTGTTCTCTAAGGTGGCTTTATCATTTATATTCCCAGGGACACACGAGGGTTCCTGCCTCTGAATTTTTATCAAGTGTTGTTATGTCTGGGTTTCTGATTTAGCTTGCTTAGGGGTGGTGAGTGTATCTTGGTTTTGATTTGCACTTCTCCAATACTTACCTTGGCTGAGAATCTTCGAACATCAACCTTTGAAGAAATCTCTCTTCAATTCATCCACCCATTTGAAAACACCTGAGTTATGAGTTCTTCATGTATGCTATGAAAATTTTCTTTTCACCTATGATTTACAAGTTCTCTCTCCCATTTCATTGATCATCCCATCACTATCTTGATGGTAGTGTCAGACATGTTTTAAATTGCCATGAATATTACACCCTTTCATTTTTGTCAAATCTAGGGCCAATAAAATATATCCCTATGTCTTATTATTTTTATTTTATACCTTTAGTTTTGAGAGGTGGACCTACCAGGTGTGAGGTAGGGTCCAAATTCAATCTTTTGCCAATTTTATCTTTTTACCTCCTGATACTTCCTTTAGGTTTCCAATTACAAACTTTCTTCTTTTCAGTATTTATTGAAAACTGTTATTTCCTTTTAAGCATGACCTTAGTTATGAAGCGACTTTTGCTCTGTCATACTTTCAGTATCATTAGGAAATGCTATACTGTAATATTCATTGTAATTCTCTTTGGCTTTTAGATTACTTAAAATTACCTGGCTTAATTTCTAAAATTTTGGGGATTATCTAGATTAGCTTTATCTCTACACATAGACACCACACACACACACACACACACACACACACACACACACACAGATACTTCCAGCAATGTGACTGAGCTATGGCCCAGGCAGCACCTGTCACTGAATCACCACATCTAGAGATGATTGCAGCATGGCTTCTGGGCACCTCAGCTGAGCCTCCAGATGGAGCAGCAGGCAAGCTATGGCTGTACTGTGCAATGCTTCCTTCTAAAGACAGGCTGGCCTCCATCTCATCCTGAACTTGTGATTTTTACTTCCAACTCTGAAGTTCTGAGATTACAGGTGTGTAGTGCCATGCCCAATTTTATGCTACACTGGAGACTGAACACAGGGCTCCATGCATGATAGGTACCCTACCAACTAAGCTACATCCTCATCTCTCCTTTAATGTCTTCAGTGACAATTTGTAAAATTCATACACAGTATTATGCCATGCCATTTTACTCAGCCGCAATAAGAAGCTTGCTGGGGGTGAAGTGGGAGTTAAGACGATTTCTGTGCTATGTTCTGAAATCCTAGTAGTATTTTATTCTTGGAAAAGAATGCCACTAAAGTTACATATAAAATCTTGGGCCAAGTTTTTCCTATGCTAAAATCTACTTAGTTTATATGCTGTAATTGTTTATATAAAAATCCAACTTGACCTAGATGCTCTCATGGAAAACACGGTGTTGAAGTTAAAGATCACTTCTGAAATGCACGAGGACACAGTCATGGACTCACTCACAAGGGAAGGAAGCAAGTAGCTCTAGAGTAGACAGGATGGGGCTGCTGTAGTTTTGCTACTGGCCCAGATGATCCAGCCCTTGTGTTGCCGGCTGAGTTCACAGGGCTCTCAGGTAAGCCAACTTTGTGCTTCTATTCACATTCCTCTCTGACTCCACAAGGAAATTTTGTTTGCAGGTTTGAAGGCAGAAATCCTTACAAGCACTTGATCATGAGCCATTGATGTAAAAGTACAAGGATGTAGTTAAAGAAAAAAGTCTTTATTTATGGTATTATCTGGGACCATAATAAATAATGCCATATGCTAATGTAACAACAGATGTTCTCATGCATTTACCTCGCTTAGAAATAAATATACAAGAAAAGTGGCTTGCAGGATCAAAGGTGGTGAAGTGTATTTAGCAATACAGTGAAAGGTACAGTGTTAAGACCGCCTAGCAAACAGATTCTTTCCCGATCACCGTAAAAATACATCCCTCTGCACCTGTGAACAAATGGCAAGTTCCCACATATTTCCCACTTTTTGTAAACATGCCAGAGTTAAATTAGCTATCAAAAGACCAGGACCGATAATTTGTTATTTATTAGTACTTCTCATGGAAAACAGATTTTAGAGATGAAAAACAAAACCTAACTTCTGCATATTTGGTGTAGAGGCTGCTAAAAATAATACAATAACATGAATCTGAATGGAATGAGATCCCCGGCAGGTTTTTGTATCTGAGTCTTATTATAAAAGTGCTGTAATATTGTGTTTATAATCTGGTAAATAACAACCAATTACCTGACTGCAGAAGTGATGAACTTCAATTAAAGCTTAATTTTGCTAGTAAATTTCACAGAAAGGATTAAAATAGGATAACCTTTAACATAAAGCTTTAGAACAAATAATTTAAACATACCTTAAACACTGAAAATGTGTTTTAATTGTTATTTACAGTTAATCAACAATACCAGTGTTTAGCTTAATGTAGCCAGTCATGAATCCCCACTTAAACACCCGTTTTTTACAATCTTCAATGTAAATACTCAGGTAACTCAATTGAGTGAAGGAGAGCGCTCTGTGGTCCACAGTAACTCAATGTATGGCCATTTGGTTTGGAGACAGCGTTTAATAGGAGTGTCATCTGTCTGTAGCATGGGGTCTTCAAAACCCATAACCACGGCAGTCCCTTCCACATACATTACCTGTTAAGAGGAAAAAGTCAGCAAGGTCAGTTAATAGTCATAGCTATTAGATAGATCCATTCTCACATGGATACAGACAAATTCACAGGCAAGTATGTTTCTGAGACCTTGTTATGTGGAGCTTTATGTCTAACTGTTTTGATAGGAATTATACTCAACTATAGCATCTGCAAAATAAATTTGTGAGATGGTGATAACCATTTTGTTAGTTAACTGGTAAAATCTAGAATTCAAGATCAAGATAAAAAAAAAGCATAGGTGAATCACAAGTCAGATACTTTTAAAGAAAAACATCATTTTTCAAATGACGGATAAATAGGGTGTGTTTCTTCCCCTAGTGTCCATACACACTGGGTTTCCTCTGGCTGGGCTAATGAGGCAGTCAGTTGCTCTTGCTTCTCAAGAGAACACAGCTATGCACTCTGAGAGAACCTCAACTTCCACTTTGGATGTAAGCACTGCATGTTCAGATCTGAAGGTATTGGCATGCTTGTTAATGAAATCTGCTGTCTTTGGATTGAATGTTTTTGAAATGTAGCTCTTCAGTGTATTTTACATTTTATGACAATCATGGAGAAAAAAAAATCACAAAAGATGTGAGGACAGACACAAAAGTCATGGAAGGATGACAGAGCAAGCTAACCTGTGGCAACGATCACATTAACTATAACTTGGTGGGAAGACACCAGAAAACATTTGTTCTGCTTTTTTTTTTTTAAAGAAAATACTTAAAATTATTTGAAAATCCTAACTATCAAGGATTCAATGTGTACATTAAACACTATGTTATTTAAGGGAGTGTCTATAAACTACTCTCTTCCAGAGTATGTATAGTTATTTTTACCCATTCAATGGATTATACACGTGATTATAATTATGTTCTTGCAACATAAAAACCATAAGCTATGTGACCAAGGAACTAAAAGAAACAAGTTGATCAGCCTTCAACATGAGTTCCCTCAAAAAACAAAACTGATGTAGAAATGTTCTATTACTGGGTCACATAATTTGGTTTATAAACTTTACTCTTTAGGGAAGTCCAAAGGCATTAAGGTAAAATACATTTTTTCATATTAAAATTATAACTCATATTTTCCAACCTCAAAGAAAAAGTGCCACTTTGTAAAAAGTTGTCTGAAAGGAATATAACACAAGGTAGGACCTGTTTCTCCAGCTGCTCACAGCATCAGAGCAGGGACAATGTGCTCTCTTCTGAGCTCTCCACTACTGTCTAATGCCTTGCCTGTTGCCTGTGGCTAGTATGCTGCTGTTTTCCTGGTGTCCTGAGTGGTACCTGACTAAGCACTCAGCTCTGTTTCCAGTCCCTGCGTAATGCCAGGACTTTACACTTCTTATAAATCACGTGCATGCCTTGCTTTATGGTTGTTACATAGTATGTCACATTAATACTCTGTATGTCTTGATTTCTAATCTTGTGTTAGTATGTCAGACGCTTGTCACAAGCATGATTTGAAAACTTACTATATACAGGTAGCGTGGCCAAGCAGACCAAGGACAGGATTGGGAATCAGGAACTCAGTTCCAATCCCTGCTCTGTCAATGACTTGCTGTGTGACTCTGGCTGAGTCACTTAATCTCCCTGTCTCAGAGGCCTCATCTGTAAAATATGGATAATATTTGACTACCTTGCAGGGAATGTGGCAGTCAATTAATATTTAGTGGTGACGAAGCTAGGCAAAACTTCAACAACTAGATGAAGTACTCATTAACACACAATAAGATAGCACACAGGGTTTCTTACTGATTGAACTCTGTTACAGATAGCAATAAATTGGTGAAAAGATTTTTGGATATATAAAAGGTTTTGATTTATATTTTGTTATGAAAATAAAAGTAAATTTCAGTCTCTTAGCTTGGTTTCGCTAAAGTAATGTATCTAATATACATTATGATCTACTTTCTGTAGCCATCCTCCAATTTAGAAATTTATAAGACCAGTATGAGATCAAACTGAAAAGGTGTTATTCTTCCTAATATTGGTGATACCTACTGAATAAATGGAAAGACTTGCCACAAGAACACATAAAACTGGCATTTCACTCAAAGGAGTGCAAGTGCTCAGACAAAACTTTTGCCTTGAATGAGGCTAGTTTACTCAGACACAAGGTATCTATGTGCCTCTATCCATGGCTTAGAAAGGAGAGGTGCAAAGCAAAGTGGCTAACTGCACAGGCTCTGGCCTTGGGCTACACTCCTGACACGTTTCAATCTCAGCTCTGCCATTGCCTAGCTCTGGAAAAGCTGCTTACCTGTGCTTAGGCCCCTCTATAAAGCACACATACATACAATACTGACTTCAGAAGTCTGTGTGAAACTAAAGACTAAGTACACTATGTAAGTGGTCACTAAAGCCATTTTGATAAATTAAAAAAGAATTCTCAATTAAAAAAATCCCAGTGTTATCTACTTCTGCATTTAAATGGATTAATAACAACCTTCTGTGGATTAACCAGAACTGCTGATTCAGAAATCCTCCACAGTCTAAAGTAACATTGTGTACACAGCAGACATGGTAATTTTGTCACAGTGAAATTATTCCCCCATAGTTCAATGTACAGCTTAGTCAAACTGAATACACCCAATTTTGACACATGTGGCAGGAGAGAGACTTCTGGAACCCTCTCAAGTAGCAACTGCAGAGGACTCAGACATAGTCATGCACTCATGTAATTATTCAACCCAGCTGAAGACAATTTACTATGTGAATTCTCATACCTTTTCATTATAATTTGACTGCTTCAATCCATTGTAGTGGTAGACAGTAAAAGATTCTGGACCACTGGAGCCCTATTATAAATAAAGGACTATTAAAACCTTAAGTTATATCTTTTTATCAAGCAATTTCTAATGAGCAATGAATGTAAAAATGCCAATTCCTTATTGTTACTGGAGAATCACTTGATAAAGGCAACTTGTATAGAGTTAACTGCCAGGAAAGCTGAGAAAGGAAACAACTGCTTCTGAAAGCAGGGAAGCCCTGACCTGTGCAAGCTCTTTGGCACTTGCTTATGTAGATGTATGGATTACATTAAATAGGACAAGCTCCTAACAAATCTCCTAACTATATCCCTGCAAAACATTTGCTTCTCAGTGTGGAACAAAGCACTAACTTTACTTAAACCACAAATATACATATACCAATATCTTCAATTTGGTCCACAACATTGAATCAGAAGTTTCCATTAAAAATATCATTTCACAGAAATCAAAATATATCATGCCTAATAAGACTTCATTCTCACTCAAAATGCATAGGCTCCTAGCTGAGTCTCAGCAGGCAATTTTCTGTCCCTACAGCTTGTCTTCTTGGCCACCCCTGACATAAGGTGACTATGAACCAACCTGGGCCAGAGTCCCTCCACTGGGTCTTTTCTCCTTGGTAGGAGATGAGCTGCTGGCAGCTCATGCTTCAGTTCTGCACAAGAGATGGGCGGAGAGAATGCAGCTTTACTGAAAGGAGGGAGGTAGGATGTGGTGATACCTTGCTTGTACAAATAAAGCTGGTCTGAAGGTCAGAGAATGGAGCCTGCCGCTAGCTAACTCCATTTACAGTGGGGGACTCTGGGAAGGGTTCGGGCTGTGCTCTAGGCTTGAGGCTGAGAGCAGCTTTCCTTTCCCAAGCTCACTTTTTCAATTCCCGTGAGCTAAGCCTTCCCCTTTAAGAGTTTTTCCCCTTATGCCAAGAGCAAGCAAGGGTCTCCAAAACAGCAGGGGCTCCAATCTGCCCTTTAGTCTGACCCCTAAATTCTGAGTCCTGACACTCAAGACACATTTCTTTCTGAAATGCCCCTTTCTCATTTTCTAAGACCTGACCCAAATCTTACTTTCCTGTAAAGTTTCCTCTGAGCATACCACCGGATTTCTTACTACTCTCCAAGCTTTAAAAAACTGTTGGAATTAATTTGAGAATAAACCTCATGTGAGTTTATACCATTAGGTTGTTACTCTGAAGACTTTACATTTGCTTTTAGCATTTCCCAACTAAAACCTAACCTCTCACAAACTGAACTTAGGGGATCACTTCCTCAATGGTACACTTGAGTCACTCTGATTGCTTAGGTGAGGAATTTGTTCTGGATTGTCACAGTTTATTTTAACAAACATTGTCCTTACTTAAATCCTATTTGTATTCTCAAGGTGGAATAACTAATTGGCATACAGAAACACCAGTAAGACAGAGCGATGCAGGAAGGACTTTGAGCCCTTGGATCAGTCATGTAACAGTGAATGACACCAAGCATGTCTCTTAAATTTTCCAGTCTTCACTACCTCGAATGGGGGACTAGCTGCCCTCAATTACAAGGCATACAGGATATACTTCCTGAAGAAAGCTGCTGCCATTGCTCTGCTCAGCTACTACCTCCTAACAATGCAGCGTCCTTCCACTGCAGCTGTGGTAAGTCAGCACAGAGATTCCTGACTTACAGATTTTCCTTCTAATTTGTTTTTGTAACTCATTTCATTTACTCTTAAGTTCAATGGACACACGTTTACCGAACTACCCTTGTATCCATCTGTTAGGTAAGAAGCCAACTAAGGATGGCAGCAAATTGAGCAGCAAGTGCTGGTATGCACGAGTACAGAGGACACCAGTGACACAGGTCAGAAGGAAGGCAGATATGGCATGGGGGTCTGAGTTCCCACATGGTGTGCAGGGGCAGAGGTGAGGGAGCTGTCCTAAGTCAGACCTCCATTAGTCACCTAATGAAGAGCCTAGAGGTGCTTCAACATTGCTGTGTTGTTCTCCAAGGCTCCTGATCCACCAGATCTAAGGAGAGACTTAGGGGTTTGCATTTCTAATTAGCTCTTACACACTACACTCTGAGAACCTTCTGCTCTAATGGAAATGACAGCATGACCACATATGTTGAGTAAGAAAAGAATATGAATTCCACAGAGGCAATGAGAAAAGCCAGGCTTGTATGGAGACTTTCTTTAGAGTAATAGGGAAGCAAGCAAATAGTAACATGAATGCAGCACAGTACAACCAATTAGAGAGAAATGTCTGTTTCCTGTACAACAGAAGGGAACTAGAACATTCTTCTACCACGTAAAGAAATACTACCACAAAGACAGGAACTCTTACTGGAGTCAATGACTTGTTAAATAAAATAGCAAAAAGATGACACACAATTGGGTGATCTGGGAGGGGCTAACGAGAGGAGCTGGGGTGAATATGATCAAAACACTGTATGAAATCCTCAAAGAATTAAGAATATATGAAAACAATTAATTCCTCAAGCTAATAAGTTCTACTAACATTAAGCATCATCTTGTAATTAACACACATGCAGCCAAAAGAACTGGAAACTGTCTTACACTGCACAGCAGTTTTTAATCCCCACCCTAACTAAGTGTTTCAAAACTAATAAGCAGTATTTCTATTAATGTCCTGGTAGCACCTTCTTGAAACATAACCACAGCCTCAAATACTGCTTCAAAACTTCATGATGCTATAATTCATCATCCATTGACATATCTAAAGGAACTTTCAGAAAGGACCAATAATTGGAATGCTAACATACTGGACACTATGGTCCAATAGTGCCTTTCCAATGTTTTGGAAAGGTTTATCTTTTTATTGATTTCATAATTTATTTGCCAAAGTTTAAAAAGCTCAATTTATTATACTATGATAGCATTGGTTGGTTCCTGAATTTTATCACTCACCTCCTTTATTCATAATAACCAAAGGAACCTTGTTTTGTAACCCTGCATCAACTAGTAATATTGAATGCCAGTAATACTGATTACTCTGTTCAAGTCAGACTTGTGCCTGAGATACCAAATTAACAAGCATGTCAAAATGAAATAACTACATTTTCTACAATAGTTGAACAAAATTTGCATTTCTATTGGAACAATGTATACTGCTGATATTTGATGGCATGACCATGATTATTAAGCTGAATAACTCAGTTCAGTGGTTAAATGTTTCACTTAGATCAAAGAAAAAGACAGGTGCAGGCTATAGAATGGCTTGCCACCAAAGCAGGCCTAACTAAAGAGCGTGAGAACGAACAGAGCCTGTTAACTGAGGCAGAGCCCAATAGAAGATATGTGTTGCTCCGCTGAAGACAAAACCACCCTGTTCATCCTTTGCTTCTGGAACTCAGGCTCTTTACTAGGAACTTCTACCCTTTCTTCTTGTGGCACTGTCCTAAGACACACACTAACCAACAGTTTTCCTGAGAGAATGAACTCAGGCATGGGAGATAGAGTGTTATCTGTATTTCATGTACTTCTAATTTTATCCTTCTTTTTAGTATTACACTATCCTCTGCCACCCGTCAGAAACAGAGGATTGCATTAGTGTACTGGCACAGTGACTCCCTTAGAGAACTGCATCACTGCACTAACTATAAAGCCTCCAACCAGAGGAGTGCATGGCTATGCCAGCACTTGTACTACACACATATATCACTGTACTGACATGTATACTCTGAGACCTACACTGTTGTACTAGGACACAGACCTACTGCACAGCACACACCTAATGAGAGGGGTACGGAGCTGTATCAGCACATCCTCTGGGCATTGTATCACTGTACTGACACATGCATGTTTTCTAAGCACTACACTGCCATAAGGGCTCATACATGTCCTTCTGACCTCTGCATGGGAAGCCTTTATGTAATAGTGTTTTCTCAGTCTTACATTTTAGGAAAAAGAAAAAAAAAGTCCTGTTCACAGCCAATCATCTCAACAGAACAATGAATACATATATTTTCTTGGCTATGTTACCTGATCAGGAAAAAATTCTTGAAGAAATGGACCCAATAATATGATTCCTAATCCTTCTGGATCTAATTTATTCTTCATGAGATTTATACTATAGAGAGAGAAAGAAAAAAAGAAAAACAGTGAATACTAAAGGAGACAAAACCCCACAAAACTATTCCGTTCTTTCATGATTAAATTTCTGGTACTCTAACACATTTGGATGCCAAAATCCTAAGAGCTGTTCTTTTTAGAACTTTAATGACAAATACACAGGAATGACATTCAATTTGCCAAAACTTGGCTATTTTTAAATCAGAGTAATCTGTTACTATTTAAAATTTAATTATGATGATGACTTTAGAATATTGTTCCTTATTAGGTAAAGTAATTTAAAAACCAAGGCTTATAAACTCAGGCTGTAACCTCCTAAAGGCAGATTCTCTCTGCTCCCTAGGTATGCATGAATTCAACAATCAAATGGAGCATTTACTTTTCTAAAAACTATTTTAGGCCCTAGGAGTTAAAAAGAAACAAGCCAAGAGGCACTGGGACATCAGATAATAAAAAATGTCTGTCAAAATGTTACTTTTATGAACTAAATGAGATAGACAACATTCTTGGACAATCTAACTTTAAGGCCACAGCCATCAGAGCTTTAATCTAGGGAATTATAGTGAGTGGCTTGGCCCTTGCTGGCGCAGCAGCAATCAGAAGTGAACAAGCTCTGTACAGCCCTTGCCTGTATATTAGGTATAATGGGGGCTGGTGGAGAGTGTCATGTATGAGTAGATCAAGAAGGCAGAGAAAAGGGGAGTGCAGTTGAAAGGGTTTCAAAACTGTTAGTGTGCTTTTTTAGGTTTTTTCCCAGTGCTATCTCAAATGCCAAGTTAAACTTAGCCTATTATGCAACAAGCAAAGCACCATGTTTGGGAGTTACAGGGCATTTTGGCTATCAACTTCCCCAGTGCTCAGGGGAGTCTCTGGCTCAAGCTCTTTAAGGATGGACAGCTGGAGCAGGGGCCAGGCACAGGGGACTATACTCAGTTTGGTGGGTGTTTGTCTTTCCCTTTCTTCCGCCCGTGTTTACACTAGGTCAGTTCCAGAGTTTTTGTTTTTATTAGAAATGGAATCTGAACCATGTGCTCAGGGAAAAAACATTTTTTTTTAAAAAGATTTTCTGAATATTACATCTGTGGAAAGTCTCTAGCCAGGTTCAGTGACACATGGCATGACTATTGTAACCTCTTCAGCCCTGGTGTCATTTGAGTGCTCTATGCAAAGGCTCTGAGTTTCCATGGGTCTGAGGAAGGCCATTAGATTGTGATCTGAAGCAAAGGTAAAGTCATTATTTTCAATGAACCCGCATATATAAAATCTCAAAAATGTGAAGTCTTTGTAGAGAGAAAATTTCAAAATAATACTGAAAGACTTAGTTTTAAAAAGTAAGACAACGCAAAGTGAAGAAGCAAGACCATGATGGATATGTTTATCTGTTCTCAGACTGGATTAGGCTCCCCTCGCCCCTAAATTTGTATTGTTTTGCTATATAGGTTTAGTACTTTTATTTTATTTTTTTGAAAAACAGGGTAAAAATGTTTCGACTTGATGGAATGTTTTTTTGAGTGATCAAAGTAACACTTCCAATTCCACTCACTACTCAGGATCTGAAACAAGGTCCAAGGCTTTCATCACATCTTCTAGAAGGGAGTCAGCTATGAATCCATTATCTGGAAAAACATAAATGGTAAGTTGGAATAAGAACATTTCTGATCAGGTTCTGGGGAGGTGAGGATCACATTACAGGAGTACAAGGAGTTGAAGAAAAGCTGAAGTGAGGATGGCATTAAAAAGCTCAATAACCTAACTAGAAAACTCAGGGGAGAGCCTTATAAGTAGAATGAATCCAGCCAAAGACAGAATATCAGGACTCGAAGATAAAATAGAGAAACCAGACCAAAACAAAAAAGAGTATGAAAAATTAAACACACACACACCCCACACACCCACAATACAGGAAGGGTGGGATACCATGAAAAGACTAAACCTCTGAATAGAATAGGTTGATGGATCCCAGGTCAATCACATAGATAGGATCTTCAATGAGATTATAGAAGAAAATGTCTCCAAACTAAGGAAAGACAAACCCATACAGACACAAGAGGCACACAGAACACCAACTAGACAAGATGGGAAAAGAAAATCCCCAGGGTATATCATGCTTAAAGAGTATTGAAAGTTACAAGAGAAAAACTGCCAATCACATAAAAGGAAGACCTATTAGAACAACAGCTGATGTCTCAGAGGAAACTTGGAAAGCCAGAAAAGCCTGGAGCAATGCAATACAAGTTCTAACAGACCAGGACTGCTAACCTAATCTGTCAGATTTGAAGGAGAAAATAAAATTTCTATGACACCAACACCCTAAAAATTTTATATCCAGCAGACCAAGCCTAAGCAAAATATAAGAAATACTCAGGCCTGAAGAAAGGAATAAGCATAGCTAAGATACTGTAAAAAGAAAACTAACAAATAATTACTAAAAAATAAATTACTACAGAGAACACAATCAACAACAAAAATACAAGTCACAACACAATGCCTGTATTCCACACACACCTTTCATTAATAACCTTAAATACTGACAATCTCATTAACAATTTAAAACATTAACAGCCTCAAAGGTCCAATCAAAAGACACAAGCTGATTAAATCGATCAAGAGACAAAAATCCATCTACCTGTTGTCTACAAAAAGACTTAGTGTTAAGATAGGCACCACTTTAGAGTGACATGATGGACAAAAATATCCCAACCAATGGGAGTGGCAAGCAGACAGTGTTACTCTCATATCCGACAAAACAGACTTCACACTAACTCTAATCAGACAGGATAAAGAAAGATACTTGATTATAACAAAGGTAACATTGACCAAGAGGACATTGCTATCCTAAACAAATGCATCAAACTCTGGGGCAGCCAGTTTCACAAAGCACACTTCTAGAGTTAAAGACAGAGATCATCATCAATCCATATGCAGTTTCACTACCCCAGTATCTCCAGAAGGCAGGCCTTCTGGACAAAAAAATCAGAAACATCAGAGTTAAAGGACATCATACATCAAATGTTCTTAACAGACACCTCCAGATATTCCACCAAACACAAAGGGTACACATTTCTACTCAGCAGCTCAGACACCTCTCTAAAATTGACCCAAACCGGGACACAAACAAATCTTAATAAATTCAGGAATATTGAAATAATTGGCAATGATTCAACAAAATTTAAAGTTAAATGTCAACAACTAAAATGGTGGTGTGTATATACACAAAATAGTATAGAAAGCGACCCAAACTCTACTGATGCCAAAATTAATGACACAAACAAACACTGGTAGGGCAATTACAAATGATAACAGTTCTGAATAAGTCAGTTGCTTATTCTCTTCAATGCACAGTTCACAAGTACTCATTCCCAAAGATTGCCTCTACTTTAAATTAGCAGCCAGCATAATATCTTTTTCAGCAATTAGACAATGTTCTAAAAGTCCTACTAAAAGTCCTACTCCTCTAACAAACTACAGATAAAGTGAGCAGTTGATCACTCTGGATGTCTAATTTTATAGTCTACTAGGTAGGAAAGAGATTAGGAGTATACAAAAGCCTTTTATATTTGTAATCATCTTGAAGTAGTTCACCCTTTTCAAGACAGATTGCCCTTGACTAAAATGCTCCAGATCATTAAAAAATGCACAGATTTTAATGTGAAGGGCTAGTGTAACTACAACTTGTCTAGCTACAAATAATATGAGGTCTAAAGAATAAAATAACTTGCTTGAAAGCACTTTTAAAGACATTCAAGTCTGTAAGCTTGCTTTGATGAATCAGAAAGACGGAGAAAAAAAATTATTTTGTTTAGTTAAGTCACAGCTACAAGCCCGGAACTTCTAAATGTGAAGCAGATTTTATTTGGCCACTAGCAGACAGGAACAATAATCTGGAAAAGTCCCTGTGATTATTGGCTATCACAGTTCTCTACTTAATATTCAGCATCTTAGGAAGTATAATGTAAAATTCTCTGCTGTCCCTGTCTGGACACTTTCATCAATATAACTCTATTCTTTTACTTTTATTATTATTTTAGAATCCCATTATAGTATATACCTGAGGGCAAAGATCAGATCCAAATACTTTTCTCCCAAAATGATCAACAGTTAAAACTGTAGACTTCTTAAATGCTTGTGCATAAGGGTTTGCTGTCTAGTAAATCACTCTCACTATGTTCTGAGCAGTTTTTATTGTCATTTCATAATCTATGGTTTAATCATGAAATCTTGCCAAGTAATTAAAGAGGTTTAACAAAACATTGCTAAGATTAAAATTTTGATAGCATTCCAACTGAGAAAATACAAAAATATATTTTTGATCTGATAATTTTGTTTGACATCAAAGTAAGTCATAGGCTTCTAGAATCCTGAAGAATCTAAAATACAGATTACTGTAATTTTTCAAGTAAAAGGAAAGCCAATACCAAATTATTAGCAGCAATCTAATGTCAACAACTTTACAATGGTGCGAGCATTTCTATGACTTTAGCTGTAAAAAAAGACATTTTTGCTTTAGAACATCTAGAATCTACTCTTGGTTCTGAGAAATACAAAATACGTATGTAGCTTTGAAAGTGACACATACAAAAAGATAGTTTAGCAACTTTGCAAAAAATGGTAATAATCTATATTCTAGGTTATAGTAAAGTGTGTGTGTGTGTGTGTGTGTGTGTGTGTGTGTGTGTGTGTGTTCATGAAGGTGTGTGTAGATATGAGGTAGATGTTGAATGTTTTCCTCACTCTGTCTCAACCTTAGTTTTGAGGCAGGGTCTCTCGCTGAACCCAGAGCTTGATGATTCAGCTTGGCTGGATGGCCAGTCTGTTAAGTTCAGGGATCTTCATGACTCTGTATCCCCAGCCCTGGGATCACAAGCACACACTGCCATAGCTAACTTTATATGTGGGTGCTGGGGAGCCGAGTTTAGTTCCTCATGCCAGCAGAGCAAATACTCGCCTAACTGAGCAATAACACCAGTCACATGCATGGCATAGCTTGTTTTAACATATTCATGGAGGTAAAATGTTTTCTAAGTTGTAATGTTACTCACCAAATCAGTCTCCATTATGTTTACAAGGTAGAGGAATATGTAGAGGATAGAGAGACACTCAGTAGTTAAGAACACTTGCTACTTTTGCAGAAAATGCCAGGACTCATATTGGGTGACTCACAAGCACTTGGAATTCCAGCTACAGGGCTTCTGAAACCCTCTTGTGGACTCAGAGAATACCTGTATTCATGCGGTATTCTTACATACATGTGGCACACACAGAGATACATACATATAAAATAAAAATAAATCTTAAAAAAAAGCGTGCAAGATATGGTCTACCTGTGGTCTTCCAGTATAAAGTTCACTCATTTACTTGATTATAATTGTGAGGAATGTTATACAATACATATCAAGTAATAGAATTAAAATTTCTACTATTCAGTGAAAAGTTTTTTATCTCCAAATTTTTATGTGTGTTAGCTTGGCAGGGCTATATTAACTAAAATATTAAACAAAAAGTAAGCAAGCTAAATGGGCTCTTCTTCCTCTACCAGACACAGCATTCTATGTATGAGTCACCATAATGAAGATCAGTTTTCTTTTCTCATCACTGCTCTTGATTAAGCAAGCTTAAGGATTAAGCACTGAGCCGAATTTTCATTTTCAGTCTTTTCAGTCACTCACAAATTAATCTGTTCCCCGATGAGGCAGTGCCAGCAGAGGCACAAGAAGGGAGCTGTGCCTGAAGGAAAGGACAGATTCAAGAGCAAAGAGCTTAAAGTAGAAGACAGAGAACACGATGATGACTGAAGCTCTTGAGAGCTCTGGAGGAATGCCCTGATATAACAATTTAGGTTTCTATATGGTAATTTCCAACTGAACTTAAGGTGTTCACTTTGAAGTTGTCTTTATGGGAGGGAGATGCAGGATTAAGGCACAATGTTTTCCTCAGTACAGAAACAAAAGGCCATTGAGACTCCTCAGGTGACAGTAACTGTAGACAGTTAATATACAAGTGAAATTTTCATAACTCATTTTGGTAGAATAAACACAGGATCAGAAGGTGAATGATCAGGATGACAGTCTTACTCATGAAGTATTTTTTCAATTACTTTTTATTGTGTGTGTGTGTGTGTGTGTGTGTGTGTGTGTGTGTGTGTGTGTGTGTCAGAAGTGTCAGATCCTTTGGAGCTGGAGTTACAGGGGTACTGGAAACCACACGAGGACCTTCAGCAGCCAGCGCTCTAACTGCTGAGCCAATCTCTAGCCCCTGTTCTGCTTATTCAGTGTGCATTTGGATCAGTTAAATAAAGAAGAATATTACTTATTTGAATCCTGGCTTTTGACATCCTACATCAAAGAGAAAATCACCTTTAACTAAGGATTCCAATAAACATAATTGCTCAGTGGCAGAATCTGATGGGAGTCACAGTTGGGTATCTTTACTGTCCTGTTTTCCATTTCATCACTTCTCAAGGTTTTTTTTTAGAACTGACACTCATCTTCCATTTAGTATTCCAACTCATCTTTTGAATAAAACCGGAGTATCAATATAGGATGTTTTACCTTCTGGATCATAGGTTTGAAAAACTCTTCTGGCTTGTTCAGAAGGTGCCTCAGGGGCAACTAAAGCCATATCCTAAAAAACAAAATGAATACTGTCAATCAGCTGCAACATTATATTAACAATTAGGGTGAGGTGAAGAAATGCTGGCATTTGGAGTCAGAACTCTTGGAGCTACAAATGTAACATAGGTGAGTGGCCAGAGAAACCACCAACTCTCTTTAGTAGTTAATTTTACTTCTGAAGGATAGAAATGACAGTTAAATCACATAAAATTGAGAGGATTTCATGCTAACATTATAAAAGCAATTGATATGAAATACAGTATGTAAAGAACCCATGATTTGTAAGTATATTTTATATTACTGTATATGTAAAGAAATATATAACTTCAAATATCAGATTCTAATTTTCAACAAATCAAAACTAAGAGAGAAGATATAACAATATACTCTAGTTTTCAAGGCATCAAAACTGGGCTTAGAACTCTGAGACTGTTCTAATTGCAAAGACTAATACAATCACACACAGTATTGTAATGGCAGATACCACTTTATAAGGGGAGTGTAAAACATGCATCAGGTTCATGTCTAATTTAGCTTCCAAGGAGACATTCTACAGCAGAGTTATCCTGTTTCCTCAAAAGTCAAGTTTCTTCATCACTGCTCATCAAAACAGTAGCACAATGCTCTATCGATGTCATTTCTTCATATCGCTTCCTTGCACATACCTAAGCCCTTGTGAAATCCTATTTCTGACTGACAAGAATGCAGAATTGAGGGCCCTGTTGCTGATGTCTGGCCATAGCTTCTCTCCAAGCTTTTACCTGTATTTGTGTTCAGTGAGTCACCTCATCAGAGAATAGGCATTCTCTAGCACCATCTCAAATCCTCAGACAGAGCTACACAGCAAGACCATCTCAAACCACATCAAACCAGAAAACAAACACAATAGCCATGAGGTATAAATATTAAAACGTAAATATATTATGGACAGATTTTAAAGAAAGATCTCTTAACTTCTATGTTTTTTTGTTTTTTATTTTTTTGGTTTTTCGAGACAGGGTTTCTCTGTGGCTTTGGAGGCTGTCCTGGAACTAGCTCTTGTAGACCAGGCTGGTCTTGAACTCACAGAGATCCGCCTGCCTCTGCCTCCTGAGTGCTGGGATTAAAGGTGAGCGCCACCACTGCCCTGCTAGATCTCTTAACTTCTATCCTCACCCATCTTTATCTCATTTATGAAAGAACTAAAAGAACCAGTAAGGAGAATTCTTACCTGACCCTGAAGTCTGACCTCTTCAGGAAAGGATAGCATGTTCCATTTTTATGAAAAATCAGGAATGGGAATCAAAACAAAGCAACCACACAGAACTTACATATTTTTTTCTTTTGTATTCCAAAAAAAGATGAATGAGAAAGAGGACTTGGTATTTTGTATGATTCAGTAATAGAATGTTTCCTGTTTTCCACTCCAGGCAGAGGTCTTTTCTGCTATTCTGACCATATGCGCATGCTAAGCAATGTCTTCTTTGGTTTAACTTTCAATTCTGTCCTAAATTTATGACTTAGTATCTTACTGCTGGATATGTGTACGTTTGCTATCAAAAACATTGTGTCAAAGCAAACATGAAGGTATAATTTCATGTGGGCTTAATTATATTTTATGAGAGCTCTACAGTGAGTTACTGGGTCACAGGAAGAGTGCTTTTGTAATTTTGGTAGAGCATAGAGACTTGTGGATTATGTTTGCTTACTTAAACTTATTTCAAACAGTGTTTTATTTTTTGACAGAGTCACAAACTCATTATGAATCTTGGGATGCTCTCAAGCTCCTGGTCCTCTGACACCCTCCTCTTGAGTGCTGGAATAACAGGTATGCGCCTCTCTCTTGGTCTTAACATGCTGGGATTGAATCCAGAGCTTCCTGCATGCTAGGTAATTCTACCAATGAACTACATCACCAGCCTCTTGAACAATATTTCTTAAAAAAAAACTCACATCATCAGTATAGCCTTTGCTCTGGGCTAAAGCTAGGATTAGGATTGTATCCCAGCTCTCAAGATTCAGGGATCAACTGTGTTGCCTATATTCTACATTAATCTTAGTATAATCATTAGCTCTTTTAACTATTCATAACCTTCCTTCTTTCTTCAGTTCTCTTCTTTAGGAGGTCTGTGTGAAAACCAGTGGATGAATACAAAGTGCAGTCCTTCGGGAAGTAGCTCAACATTAGTGGAACCAATTATATGCAAATGGATACTCATTTTTTTCTATTCACCAGTTTCATTTAACCTTCTGTACTATCAACTAATGTTAAAAAAAAAGATAAGTATGATAAAAAATTCCATAGAATTTCTAAGTACCACTTAAAATTATATTCTAAGTAGAGGGGAAGAAAAAATAATCAGGCTTTTCTTGTCTTAAAAAACAAACAAACAAAAAAACCCAACTCTTGATTTTCCAAATTCATGACTAAGGGGTGTCTTGCCATGTATTTGTTCCTTTTTTTTTGTCATCAATGTTTCACAGTTTTTGGTGTCCAGATTTTTCAGTTCCTTGTTTTAATTTTTCCTGGGTAGCTTTGGGTAGTTATTATAAATTGAGGCTGTCCCCTTGATTTTTCAGGCAGTTCCTTGTTGATTTATAGAAACACTAATTTTTGAATTTTACTCCGTCTGTTTGGTAGCTTCAGCAGTCTTCCATGAAGTCTGTACTGTTTTCTATGTAAGATCATACCATCAGCACATGACTCTGCTTTCTCTGCTCCTCTTTGGGTGCCTTTTCTCTTACCTGATTGCTCTGGCAAGGACATTCACAACTATGGTAAACACAGGAGTGAGTGTAGAAGTCTTTGTTCTCTTCCACAACTCAGAGGAAAAGCTTTCAGTGTTTCACTGTTGAGAATTCATGGTCTCCTGTTATATGATGCCCTTCTATAAAAATTTTAGTGAGAGTTTTTAATCATTTAAACATACTAAATTCTGTCATATATTTTTACCTCTTCCCCCACATTAAATAAGATATTAAATAAGATAATCATATAGTTTGTATCCTTCATTCTCTTGATGTGATATGTCACATTTATTAATTAGTCTTTTTTGTAACACTTTTGCATGCCAGAAATACAATGCACTTGGTCTTAATGGATGCTCTGTTTTATGTGCTGCTGACTTCTAGGTGCTCACAGTTGTCGAGGAATTTTGCTTCCATGTTCATCAAGAATACTGGTTTCCCATTTTCCCCCTTTCCTTCCACCTGTCTTCCTGGTCTGGAATCTAGGCTCCTCCTCCCCCAGCCTCCTATGTGCTGGGATCACAGCTAGGTACCAACTTTGCCTAACTCTACTTGCCATCGTCTACTTTTGATGCCAGGCAGTGCTACATTCATAGATTATGAAAGTGTTCCCTCCCCTGATTTTTGGGTTTTTACTTTCTCATGAAACTAGATAGTAGTACTTGTCATGGAAATTAATTTTTTCTAGGTTACTTAATTTTTGGTATGTGATTATTAATTGTAATCCCTTAAAACCATGAAGCAGAAGAATTAACCGTGTTAAAATATTCACACTGCCCTGGGTGATTTGTAGATTCAACACATATCTATTAAAACTCTAACATCATTTTAAATAGAACTAGAAAAAATAATTTAAAAATTTCCACAAAAGAGCCACAAAAGGTCCTAAGTAGTCAGGCAATCATGAGCACAAAGAACAACTGAGAAATACAGTCATACACAACAGAGAACCCAGAAATTAATCCTGGCATGACAACTGATTTTAAATAATGCCATCAATATAGCTCAGTAAGGTACTTGCTGTCAAGGCTGACAACCCAAATTCAACCTCATGAACCACACGAACTCTGGAAAGTTTTTCTGTGACTTCCTGGTTAGCGCGCATGTGTGTGCACAAAGTAGTAATTTTTAAAAACATATTAATAGGTGGAGAAAGTGCTCTTTAACATAGAGAAGACTGGATTTCCACAAGTAAAAGAATGAAACTGGACCCTTAACTCACATCACATATGAACATTTCCTCAAAATGGATTAGGACTTAAATGTAAAAACAAGAACTCTAAAACTACTAGAAGAAAACAATAGGGGGGAAACTAAATGACACTGGCCATGGGTGATTCTATAATTTCACTCAAAACCCCCAGGAACCAAAACCAACAATAGTCAAATGGGGTCACATCAAATTTAAAACCCACAAATGAGGCTATGTTTGCAAGCCCTGCATCTCATAAAGTATTAATACTCGAAATATATAAGGATTCAAACTTAACAGTAAGAAAACAAAAACTCAAAAAGTAGGAAAGTACATGAATAGACATTTCTTAAGATACACAAAAGGCCATGGAATTCATGAGAAAAGAAAAAGCTTAGTATTATAACTCAGGGAAATGTATAGCCAGAATGGGAAATCATCTCTACACTGTCAGAAGAAGACAAGTGTAAGCAAGAAAGGAAAAGTGAGCTCTTGCCATGGTAGTTAGGAATTAATGCAAAACAGCCCAGCCATTATGGGAAACTGTGCAGAAGTTCCTTTAAAGTACTACTTAAAATCCAGCAATCCCATTCTGGAATAACCCTAAGGCTTAAAGGTCAAAGAGTTATTTATGTCATGTACGCTGACAAGTTATAGAAACAGGCCAAATGTCTCACAACAGATGAATAAATCAAAAAAATGTAGCAACAATGGAATACTACTTAGTCTTACAAAAAGAAATACGATCACTTCCATCACTGCACACTGAACTGGAAACTATTCCACTACATAAACCAGGCATAGAAGGGCAAATATTTCTTCTTCTCATCAATATGTAAACTCTAAAACAACTGAATTCAGAAGCACAGAGCAGAATGTTGTTTACAGAAGCTGGGGATTAGGAGGATTGGGAGACCTGGGATCCAAGGAGGAAGAATCAGACTGAGGGAAGGTTTCCCTTTCAGTTCTAGTACATACTATGATGAGTACAGACAGTAGATGACAGTACACTGCTAAACTGTTAAGATGGTAAATATTAAATATTCTCCCCAAATATGATAAGGACTGGAAATCATGGGCACTAACTAACT